ATAATTAAAAGGCTCGTAATTTCATAAAAATTAAAATACTATAAATTAGATAACGTAGTGATACTGGTATAGATTATTGTCCTTAACTTAAAATTTATTGGTAGATAAATTCACTCTAATAATAATAGTTATAACTTAGGTTTGGTTGAACGTAAACAATTTGATACGTTACGTGTGGGTCACAGAAAGAAAAMAAATTATCCGCTGTCCGCATAATGAAATTTTCTTATGAGCACGCTAAACGGGCATTATTATGACGTGTTGTCTCCRTCTTACAAGTTCGTGACATATCAAATTTACCCTCAGAAGATCACGTTTAGCTCCGTTAGTTTAAACATTTGAGTGAATTKACCTAGTATGAAACTCGATGGTAAGAACATCATCATCTGCAGTGTTTGTGCCGGTGCCAACTTGATCGACATGTACGAATTAGGAAAAATGATTTAGCGAACCAACGGATGGCGATAGAGTTGCGGAACTAAGCATGCAAATATATGCTAATTGCATACTATATGTTGGCCTAGAAAAGAATTTGAAAATAGATGATTTTGATGTGTGTGTGGGGGGGGGCAGAGACACGTGTCTACAGCCCCCCACCTATTTTTCGATATCACGCTCAATTAAAAATACTTATTAATTACAAAAGTTAGTATGCAAATACATGCTAATTAAATGATAATTATTTGCCAAAAAAAATTTGAAAATTCCAATGTGGGGGTTGGGGACACGTACGTGTGTTTGTGTGTTTTTACGACAGTTCAATCTTTTAGTAAGTTATACGTATACAATATAGCGTAAATTAAAAATGCTCGCTTAAAAACTGATTTATCGTATAAAAACTCACTACAAAGATGCCAACACAGACAATGTAAGTACTTACCATTTAGTTTCATGATAGGCTGATTCACTCTAATTTTTAAGCCAACGGAGCTAAACGTGATCTTCTGAACGTATAAATTTGCTATGTTACGCACTTGTAAGACGGAGACAATACCATAATAATAATATATGTCCGTGTAGCATCCTCTTAATTATAATCACTAATATTATACTTTAATAAAAGTACAGTAAGTTACATATATTTTCCCATGGCCATTCATGAATATTGCACGTATATACATTAGTTATTGTTTTGTTCCTTCTGAGTAATGTTATAATGCAATTCACATGCAAATAATTACTGTATAATATATTATACATCTATACACCTCAAGGAAAATGGCGTATGAATTATTATGTTAAAAGAGTCTACATATGATGCTCGTACATATTATTACATTATTACATATATTATAAAGCATAGGATTATAATAYCTAGGATTTCACAACGAAATAAAATGTTAGCAATTCGTAGTAAAGTATCATTTTTCTAATGGATTCCRATGTCTTCAGAGAAAATACTTAGGTTGTGTATTAATTTATCGGTATGAAAAAGTGCTACAGAGTTTCCTCGCTTAATATTGTCTTCAGTGAACACATAAAAACGAAGACTTGAAGATTTCTAGAAATATTATATGAAAACTTGAAGTTTAGAATGCTTTAATAACTAATGACAAATTAACAACTAATAATTATTAAATTTTYAAAGTTAATAATTWATATTCTTATAAATTATAATTTATAAACAATTTAATAAACGATCAGTTATTATGCATAAATTAATAATAGTATATAACATGTAAATGTTGTGAAAAACTCAGAGGAATCTATAAATATTTATTGGGGCTAGGATTTCAAAACACGTTATTACATTCTGTCATTTTTTTTTTTTTGGTGGAACTATTACATAATTATGTTTAAAATTAACCTAAATGGGAACTAATTATCAGGCGATACTGATAATTTAAATGTTTTTTGACAAATATAACTTTAACGTTCATAATTAAAAGATCATTAAAAATATATTTACATTAACAGTGGCATAATTCGGAATAGGTTCTGGATGGGATATAAGTTTATACCATCTTCATATTGGGGGGCTATTCCTCCCACATCCCCCTTGACCATTAAATTTCACATATCATAGTATTATATATTTATTTGTTATTACAAATTAAATGAGGTAAATGGTATATAATAATGGTTTTCAAAATTATCTRTCGACTATGAACCGCACAATTTTCTTATCCTATATGTATTATAATTGTTGAGGTATCATAGTTTTAAACTTGTAAAATAAAAAAAAAACCTCAACTATGATAATGTTCATGAATTCTTATTTCTTGTTTTAAAACCCTAGTGCTTACAGGAATTTGATTATGATTGTTTTAAAAAAAATAAGTCTCTGGGGGGGTGGATATATCCCCATATCTTCCCCAATAATTACGCCACCGTAGATTAATTGTTTTTTACATACTAACTTAACGCTTCTGAGTATTGCAGTGCACTAAAATCGAGACTTCGTTCAAAGAAATCGATTAAAAATGGTTATAATAACTTCCCTACTAGGTATATAATTTAAAGTGGCTTTTCGTACAATAATTAATGTAATATTTCTGCGGTCAACTGAACGATTAAAAGACAATTTGAACAAAATTATATTTAAAATTTAAAATTAAAAAAAAAATCCAATCTTATATTTGTATACATTACAGGGTACCGATTTAAGGAGTCATATAATATTATGCACATTACAAATTATTAATTAATAAACCAAAAACAACCTTATATCTCGTACATTTATTTAATAAAAATATTATACAATATACATCATAGGTACACGGACGAAGGTCGAATTCGCATAACACCGGCGGCGGTGCAGTACACAAGTAAAAGTGACTTGAGGGGCAACTCCACATACACACACACACTATACCTCGTCTCATATTAAATCGGATCATAATAATCTAATAAAAAAATAAAAAAAGTGTATACTTAATAATAATATGAGAAAAACCGTATGCGTTATAGAGAAGAGTCTCATCTACACACACAAACAGCTTCGTCGTACACGTGCACACACACACACACACACACATATACGTATATTATGTTAATAATAGTTTATTATATAGGTGGATGCGGTATATACCAGTTGGTGTTCCCACGCCAACTAGCCCGTTCGGTCCGGTCCGCTCTTTGAGATAACCGGGTATACGAGTGTGTCGGTGGGTGTGCGGGTGGTGGGGGGAGGGGTAAAAATCCTCTGTGGTATTTTTCGGTGGCCGCCGACGCCGCCGCCGCCGCCGAGGCAGGTGTCAGGTGTGCGCGTCGTCGTCATCGTTGTTTTTGTATAGGCGGCGGCGGCGGTTGTTGTGCGTGCGAGCGCCGCCGCGCGCGTCTCTTTGAAATCCATTCAATCTCGTCCGCCGCCGCCGCGACGGGCGTGGCTTCCTCCAACGTTCCCCCACCCACCGTMGAGCTCTATAAATACCACCCGACACGGACCGGCCGACCGTAGTCGCAGTACATCGTTCTTCCCTTTCAGAACACGTTCGTGACAGTATTATTTTATTATCATCGCCTAAAAGCGAAGAATCGATCGACTGTATTTTCACTCGTATTTAATAACTATATATTATCAAAACAACATAATATCGTCGCCGTTTTGCGCACAGTGCTCTCGTGTGTGTTTTGTTCGTCGCGTTCTACATTTTTTTACCGTCTACACGTGCCGAGCGTATATTTTTTTTTTGCGTAATTACACGAGTTCGTTTCGTTTCGTTTAATTTCGCTTAACTCGAAGACAGCAACCATGAAATCCATACCTTTGTGTCGCAACAACAACAACAACAACAACGGAGGTTCGACCGGACCCGCGGTGACAAGCGGACGTGTGCAACGCAAGCGCGGTGACCTGGAAGACGAGAAGATCCAAAAGTATCTGTCTAAGCTCAAGGATCTGGTACCGCTTATACCCAAGGACAAGCGGATATCCCGACTGGAGGTGATCCATCACGTAATCGATTACATATGTGACCTGGAGGACATGTTGGAAAATCACAGGTCGGTGAACGCAGACGCCGTGCACTCAGCCGCCGCGGCCGTCATGCTTTCGTCCTCGGTGGCCGCCGTCCGGCAGCCACTTGGCATCATATCGACCCCGAACGCGCTGGCCGCCGCTGCCGCAGCTGTTGCCGTGGCCGCACAGCCACAATCGTCCTCCGAATCGGTGAGTTATTGTTGAGGTCATATTATTATTCGAATGCAATAAAAAAAGAAAAAAAAAACAGTTCTCTCCACTGCTCTTGGCACTCTCGACTAGGTTTACCACGACGTCACGGTCGCCATAAAGCRCTAAAAAATAATCAACTAAAAATTTAATACCTATTATACTTATACTCCACGATTATTTAGGTGCCTTCTATAATAGCACTAGAATATTATTTCGGTTAGGTTAGGTACCGCGGTATCGCCTGACCGCACTTTCTCTCTTTGGRTATTTCACCGTTCCGTCGGCCGAGTAAATTTTTAATCATTATCCACCATGCTCCCTCCCCCCCACAATGAACACTCRAATTTTGTTGCGAAATAATGTGTATTTATTTTTTGTTTGATATTGTGTTTACAGACAATGTCCCCTTCTTCTCGGACACAAGAAAAGCTGTCAAATTCATCAGATACGAGAGCCGTTAGCTGTTAAACAWAACGAATAATAATAATTATTTATTATAATTATTATACATTTTTGAAAAAAAAAACACACACAAAATAATATACTAAACAGAAAAAAAGATTGAAAAAACGTCGCCCATCCACGCCTCGACAGCCAGTAACGAGTACCGTACCGAGGAATATCGTTTGTCGAATATACAAGTATATAATAAATATATGTGCATAATAGGTGTATATTATATACAAATATATTCAAAAAGTATATATATGTTAAATGAGAGAGTGAGAGAGAATACGTTATGTATACACACACATTCCAAATAGATTCGACATCTCTCAGGAGTTGGACTCGAAGGTTCCGTTTCGCGGAAAAGTGCGTTTTTTTTCTCGCCTCCCCCCTTTACACACTGTACAGCTTAGGTTTAATTCCTAATTGTTATTATTATTTATTATTATATCATTATTTTTTTCGTTATGACTGTGATCCTATCAATATGTAGTCTAGGTTTTAGTATTTATATATTATCATTATTGTATTATTATGTAGACATTTAACTCTAGCAGGTATATAATCTTACTATGATAAAAAAAAAATTAAAAAAATGTTTATTTAAATATAGGCCTATTTATATGACAACTGGGTGGATTTTGACTCGAATCCTAAATAGAAATATTATGAAGTAGTCCATTACATTATTATATCCWWCTAAAAAAAAAAGAGAATATAACATCATATAAAATCTTATTTGTATAATATTTAATAGGGACTACGCATATAAATTATTTTAAATAAAAGATATTATTATTATATATATATTTATATAAACCCACGGCGTACCTTTGCGCTTTTTTCGTCTTTGTACATTATTATTTTTTTTTTCTCTTTTGTTTTCTTTTATTAAATGATTTATATTGTTTGGGTATATATTGATTACATGAGTTATTACTTAGCTTTTAATTCAATCATATTATAATACAATTTATTACAAACATAAAACTTCGATTTGTTCGTTATTTCTCAAGGTTCCTGTTACCATGTTCCTGTGTATATAAATAATATCGTCCACACGATGAATAATAATAATTTTTTTTTTTTTAATTTACACAATAATAATTATTATTATTATTATTATTAAGAATTTTATGTTTTATCATAGGTTGCAAATATTAGGTACCTACCTATGATTAATGATGATTAAAATGTTTTCATCAAACATAATTATTATACATAGGGGTAATGTATCCAAATAACATTTTTGACGCCTGCAGTCGGCGAATTATTGTGGCGGCCACAGCTAAAAAATCTATGGACAATAAAAATATGTTCTARATGAGACTYGTTATGACAGCAATATTGTGTCGTGCTCGCATAGGAGTCGTCATTAGATAAAGTATCGCAAAAAAAAAAAATAAAAAATTTGTAGGCGTTTTTAAAACGTGTATAGGTACCTCTATCGTWATATTACATAGGTATATGCATGTATATCCATCGTGTCAGGGGTTCGCAACTTTCTAAAAAATAAAAATAGGCGTGTCGTAATATTATTCAGCGTACATTGCAGGTTCGTGGATGTATGGTATGTACACATTACGCATTGCTTTATACTGTATAATATTATAAAGTATTTAAAACACGCCTTCGTGCGTCTATACATTATTATAAAATCGTGTTTTTATTAATTATTTTTGCGTTACGTTCGTCGTTGCTGTATGCGAGTCGTTTAAAAATAATTTCCCGCCACGGAGCGTATCGTCGTCTACCGYCGTCGTGTACGTACCTATAATTCAGTAATTGCGGGCTTGCAACTATATAATAAACTGTTAATATTTATATCTCTTCCTGCTGCCTGGAAGGTATKTCGATGCAAAAAAAAAAAATAAATCATAAAGCGATATAATATAATACCCGACACGCTTGCAGTGTTATACAGCATGCTTGTTTTTGTTTATTATGGCCCAAGCATTATTCGATTTCGATTTTGACGAGTTTGACGACGTATACAAATGTGTATAATRTATTGTGTAAAAATGAATTGGTAAATAATAAAAATTAATTTGATGTCAGTAGACAATTTGTTTTCTGTCTCGAATTCATAACATTATAATATAACATAGGAAAAACGCATTAACATCATAGTCACTTTTTTTTTTTTTTAAATATAATTTTTGAGTATTCTTAATACGTAGAGTAAAATCATACATTTCAAAAACTATAAATGATAATATTTTAAAGATTTTGACATATCGGCATTAAATTCCACGGTTATTTGACTTTATATTCGACTTAAAAATTAAAAATATTATAAATTTAAATGTATATTACACTGTTTTGTTACAAATATGACATACACACTCAAAAATACTTATTATTCTCTATAAAATTTTTGTAATTGATAATTTAAGATAATAAACAAAAATAAAGTCAAAATATTTGTTTTAATTTTTTTACGTACGCATGTGTAAAAACAAGAAATGGAATAAATTTAAAAAAAATTTCCGTACGTATTGGTATAATAATAACATGCAGAGCTTACACAAGAGTTACGTTCTTGTCACAGTTCACTTGATTTATATTTGACATTAGAAAAAAGTTTGTGTTTTACCGAATATAAATTCGATACAAAATTTTAAAATTCTAATTTTTCAAAATTGGATATTTAATCAAAGAATTTAACGATTTTAGTTATTTTATTGTAATTAAAAAATTCATCGAGACTTAAAACTTTTTCGTATATTATAATATTTAATGTTTATTATGTTTATCTAAACACTATTATAGAGTTTTCAAAATATTTATTTTAATTTTAAA